CTACATATTTTTGGAATAACATGAATAGCTATAATAATGTAAATTGTAAATTTACAGTGTTAAGCATTAGCATAGACCAAATAGATTAATAAGATAATAATGATGGATATGTTTGTTAATAAAAAGTACATAAAAAAAACATTTTTCTATCTTGGTGTCTTGAGCTTTTTCCTTCATGTAGGGGCAAATGGGTCAAGGACTCTGTATGATAAAATGTGACTGTACAGGATTTATAGAGTAGCAAAAAGAATGATAGAAAACATAGTAAAATGTTAGTCAATAAGCAAGCAAAAGAATGAGGAAAACAACAATGAATAAGTGATGGGATTAATAAAATACAGGGATAGCACTATTTTTGTATAATATTTGTGGCTCAGACATTGGATATTCATAGTAACATGTGACTAATAAATTCATTTATATATTAGATGAAAGAGGTGGGGAGAGTAAGAGAAAGAGGGATAAAATGATGTCTAGAATTTAGAAGTAGGAGAATGAGAGCCAAAACGATGTTTAGAATTGGATTTATGGCAGTATACGAAGAATAACAACAAATCAACGAATAGAAAAAACAATGGAAAAGTATATAATGGGATCATGAATATTAAAAAAGCGAAGTATATCTATTTAGCAGAGAAAGACAGAAGCAATGTGCAGAAGAAAATGCAAAGTCGTTAAAAAACTACTGAGTGGATGAAGGCGGAGGAAAAAAAAATGTCTATAGCTTTATTTGTGCAATTGTGACCAAAGGAATTAAATCGAAGGAGAAGTGGAGATGGAAAAAATTAAGAGAATAGCCCGTTTATTTCATCGATTCAAGTTTAAATTCGAGTTTTACTATAGTGCCTTGTTCATTTCACCGATTCGAGTTTTCAGTTTTAGATTTCTACAGTAAAAAACTCTCAGAAAATGTCACATCTAACTTTTTCTGCTACAGTGAAAAATTCTCAGAAAATGTCACATCTCAGCTCGAATTAAAAACTCGAATTTGCGAAGTGAACGAGGCCTAAAACTCTTAGAAACAATCACATCTAACTTTCTTGCTATAGTAAAAAGTTCTCACATAAAATCTCATATCAACTTGAATTAAAAACTCGAATTGACGAACTAAACGGGCCCTAAATTCTATACTTAAAAGGAATTGAAAACCATTTACCTAAGAGAGGCATGGAAAAAACAGAAAAAGAGAGATGAGTGTGAATAATAGAATTTGGGACAAAGTATTTGATGAATTGATATAGGAGGAGAAAATACTAACATGAGGGAGGTAACATAACATATAATACATATCTAAACATATAATAAGTTTATTATAACTATAAGACAGGAACAAATCAAAAACCAAGTGTAAAAGCCAAAAAGCCTAATAAAACATAGATATCATAATATTTTTATGTAGTAGTTATGGCTAAGATATTCAACATTTTTAGTAATGTGCAATGAATTAGTAAACTTATATATATTACAGTATTTTTGTGGCTGCCTATTAAAGACAACTGCACAAAAACACAGAAATTAATAAGTTACTATATCCATCACACAAATTATAAATTATATGTCACAAAAAATGAATGACCGGAGTAAAATATAGATTTTTTTTTAAGACTATCAGATGAATTAAAAGAAGAAGGAAAAAGCTTGAATTTCATTTTATATATACAAAACAATGACAAAACAGAGACCAACTAAAAGAATAGAATCAGATGAAAAACAAAAAAAGGAAAAAAGAAGAGTCGAAGAAATGCAAGAACATAAGAAGATCGAAGAGAGAATAGAAGCTAGGACTGCACTTGCATTAAGGAGGACGAAAAACATTCTGTTTAGAAACATAAAGAAAAGCAAGAAAAGAACAACACCGTGATTGCATTATACCATCTACAGTGACCTTATGCTTAATGAGCACTGCAAATTTCTAACACAACGCTTGAAACTTAAAAAAGTAAAAGGAAAGAAAAAGAGGGACAAAAAGGAATATATTACATATGTAAATAAATTTTACTGTAAACTTCTATTATAATCCCACAAAAATATTTACATGATCTACTTAATAAGGTGAGAGTAATTATTCCCTAACAAGTCGGTTTTGTTAGGTTGAGTTATGTCCAATATCCTTTAATTTCTGTAAAATGGTATCAGAGCAGGTCTAATTTTGTAATGTTGGGTCTCCTAATATCGACTTATTCGCAGCGGTTTGGCATGGTCCACGCTGTGCGTGAGAGGGCATATTAGAATCCCACATTAACTGGAGATATTGGCATGATCCACTTAATAAGGTGAGGGCAATCCTCCCCTAACAAACCGATTTTGTTAGGTTGAGTTAAGCCCAATATCCTTTAATTTCTGTAAAAACTTCTAATACAATATTGAAGCTAAAAGCATAGTGGAGAAAAAAAGAAAGCAAAAAGAAATATATTATATAGATAAGTAAATATCCGTTCAAATACTGAAGGTAGAGATAGGAAGAATTCAAATTAAGTAAAAATGACGCATCTGCAGAGTGTAAAAAGGGGATGGGAAAACCAGAAGTCAGCAATGGAAAGAAGAAGCTAATGTTTGTATAAACAACTTTTGAATCAAGTAATAACGGCAAAAGGGCTAAAACAGCTCAGTAACCCAAAAAAAAAAAAAAGAAAAAGACCAAAAAGTCCCTACGTAGAAACGGAAGAGAGGGGAAAAGGGCAAAAATGTCCTAACACTAACGGCAAAAGGGCTAAAACAGCTCAGTAACCAAAAAAAGTAAAAAGACCAAAAAGTCCCTACGTAGAAACGGAAGAGAGGGGGAAAGGGCAAAAATGTCCTAACACTGTACAAACTACACATTTCCAGTATGAATGAACAGTAGCCCTCCCTTACCTTTTAGTATATTTATAATATGTAATAAAATGCTAAGGGGTTGTTATTTTACAACGAAACTTAAAAAAAAAATTTAAACTCAAGTTATAATTTTATTTAAGTTTATGTTTTTTTATAAAATTTGAGTTTGAACTCGAGTTTAGGGCTAAACTCGAGTTCATAAACTCGAACTCAAGTTAATGAACAATATTTTTTTCTATTCTTAGAAATGTCATAACTTTTTCGTTTTAATTCTGATTGAGATGATTTTTTTTTCTATGCATTCACAACGAAAAGACGAATAAAACCTCACCTATATATTCTATTAAAATTTTTTATCACCATTGAATTTTTATTAAAATACTATCTAAATATAAATTTAAGTTTTGACTCACCCAAACACAAACTCAAAAAGATTCTCAATTTAAATCATAACTCAAATGTGCACATCCAAACACAAACTTAAGTTACAACTTCAACTCAAGTTATAACTCAAATTTAACTCAAAATCATCACTCAAGTCATCATAACTCAAAAATGTAAAAGAACAACCCCTAAATATTCTTTAATTTTCACTAAAAATTTAAACAACTAACGAATTATTTTTTGAACGACAAAATTAATATTCATTAAATATATTATTTATTAGGAAACCAATCTCTAATTATTAATATAAAACCTGAAGTGGAATCTTTAAGTGGAAAAAGGAAAGAGATCGCATTTTCCTTTCTCTTTTCAAAGGGAAATACACATTTTTCTCCTTTAAAATTAAGCGCCATCAAAACTCATTTAATAAAATCACTACAGTTAATGAATAAAACCAATCAATCAAAATTAAAAAACGCTGAACATTAGTTTCACCCATAATGCTATATAAGATCAAATTTAAGGGACTAGACTTATTATTACAACAGAAGGGTGAGACAACAACTTTAATTATTACACAATAAAAAAAATAACCACTGAAACGAGGAACTCAACATAGCTTTTTTTTTCATTAAAATAAAAATAAAAACACTGCACTTTTGATAATGATATTGACACGGTTTCCATATATGAGGAGATAAAAAAGGTAGCAATATGGTGAAGTAAAATAGCCATTGATAATCCCAGAGCACAAGACTGAAAATGCACGCATCATGAGTACGAGCACCCACCGAAACCCACGTCATAATATAGGATGATTTTTTCGTTTCAATTCTGATTGATGATTTTTTTTTTTCAATGTGTTCATAATAAAGAGGAACAAATTCTCATTGATATTGCATATTTTTAAATGTCATATGACAATGAAGTTCTATAAGATTTGGCACAAAACTCTAATAACAAGTTTTAACACTTTATCTAAATACAATTCGAATTTTATTCCAATTCAAATTAAAATTTATTTACATATTTAAATGCCGGCTCGAATCATATTTCAAATCACCATAATTTAAACTAAATCATACAATCTAAACGACGAACCAAACAAGACCTAATACATTTTAATTTCACTCTTATAACCTGTCGTCTAATTTTATAAATACAAAATTGGTAAAAATACATTACATAGTAGATTAAGGAAAGTGAAAATTAAATATATACATATATACACACACATAATATGCTAATCTATTTTTTATATAAGAGAAAAGTATATAGTTTGTCGTGATTTTGTGCTTATGTATTGTTTATGTCATTTTAAGTATTATTGTAATTTTTTGTTTTATCTTTATTAATTGAATAGTAATTATTTATTTTTAAATGTAATAACATAAATAATATTTTTACGAGCTTGAGTAGTATTTCTGATTTTTTTGTCCTTTTTATAAATGAAAGATAAAATTTAAAGTTTGATCATGTTTTTTTTTTAACTTTATTATTTATGTCACTACATAAAATTTTAATATCATTATAAAAAATAATCTACAAGATACGAAATAATAACTTATAAGTTATAAAAGATAACTTATAAAATACGAAGTGATAACCTACGAAAGTTAACTTATAGGTTATTAGTGAATAAGATAAATTGAACGGCATAAATACACTAGGGTTATTTATTGTTGACATTTTTGGAAATTGACCATAAGGAAAATCATGGTCAATTGGGCCACTAACCCCAAAGCCCAAGCATAAATATCGCGTTTACTTCTTCATCTTCTTCATACAACAAAAATATCATCGTTCTCCTTATCTCTCGGCAGACTGCAAAATCCCACTTCCCTCTCTCTCTCTCTCCTCTTTCTCTCTCTAACATGGCAATGGCTGCCAACCTCTCTCTCGCTCCTAAATACCTAATATTATCTTCACGGCCCTCTCTCTCGCCTCTCCTCTACTCTCACCCTTTCGTCTCTGTCCCCAATCGTGCTTCGTCTCGCTCGGCTCTTCAGAGGCTCTCCGTCAGGGCGGCGGCGGCGACCGACGGCGAGTACTCGGCCAAGAGGAGCAGCAGCAATGAGCAGAGGGAGACGATAATGTTACCGGGCTGTGACTACAACCACTGGCTCATCGTCATGGAGTTCCCCAAGGACCCCGCGCCCACTCGCGAGCAGATGATCGAGACTTACCTCAACACTCTCTCTACTGTTCTTGGAAGGTACTTTTCTTTTATTAGAGGAGAAGAAATGTTTTTGGTTTTGTTTGTTGTTTGTGTGGAAAATGATTACTGGGAAAAGGGAAAAAGAAAAAGAAAAGATTTTGGAAGAATTTTGAATCGTTTTCATATGTGTTGAAGTGTTTAAGTTACTCAATTGCTTCAAATTTTGGATTATTGGTTTTTGTTTCTTTATTGGAATGAATGTTTGTTGTCTTTGTTTGTTTTCTTTGCGAAATGGTTACTGGGAAAAGAAAAAGGAACAAACTTTGGAAGAATTTTAATCCATTTTCATTATGTGTTGAAGTGTATAAGGGGATATATGCATAAATACATATATATGTAGGAGATAACTATTTGTATGAATGAAAATAGAGGCCGTTTATTTCAAGTGAAATGCTTGACTATCCTTTTAGACATTGCTTTGGCTAATGTTATTTGTAGGTAATAGTATGGAATTCTAAGAGATTGACAATCTATTCCTAGAAATAGAAGGTTGGCGATTGTATTTAATTTAAATTACGGCAATATTTGGTAATTTAAAGTAGAATGCGGCTTTTTTTAAAGAATTTGTCAAATGATGTTATTCTTGGAAGCTCTACTTTTGATGGTTTTATTGGGTTGAAGCATGATAATTTTTTCGTTATGTTCTGTTATTTAGCATAGTGCAATATCTTCTCTTTATTTCGGAAGCTTGCAACTTTTTTAGTGAGAGTTTTCTGAGGAAGTGGCTAAAAAGAGGAATTTATAGTTTGTGTCCGTTTCATTTGCATTATCTCCATTTTCAGTTTTGAGCATTTACGTGAAGCAATCAAGTTGTCTATTGGACTGTTCTCGTTGTAAGTAACAAACTTAGTAGCAGAGTTCTCAGCAATGGCTTATTGATAGAGAACTAGCGATATGGTAATGGGAGTAGATGAAAGTAAGCTCGTTTAAGTTGATGATGTGTGGGATGTGTTAACATCACTATAATATAAGTTGGTGTTCAATCCAATGTTACATTATCCGCTGAAATGATCTAATAGGGCATGTGCATCTTATGTAGTCCAGAGCAAAATATGTGATGAATATTTCATATTCTAATGAATTATTTTTGAAGAAGGTATAGAGTAAGAATACTCGACCCTTACACCCATGAGGTGTTGGTTGGAATAGTTACTTAGGTCTTTGGTTTGCTGCCACAAAGTCTGGGGTTCGAACCACCTCATAGGCACCTACATGACTGAAGTCATAGTTTCCTGCCTTTTAAAGATTGTAGGGCTTGGTGGAAGGCTCCAGTTCCTAACTCGGGTCCACAACGTGGGTTTGAGGGATTTCTGGGTATTAAAAAAAAAAAAAAAGAATACTCGACCCTTGCTACAGTAGTAGTCGTGGAAGTTAACATATTCTGATTTCTGCTCAAGCCTTTTTGGGGTACTAATTCTGTTATTTTGCTGTTTTCTTTTTGAATGTTATCTTTATTTCCTTGACTCTAACATCTTTATTTTTTAACTATTTTTTTCCACTGCCGAGTGCCGAGTACACTAACTTAATGGCACGTTTTGTACATCTCATGTGTTTTTATTTGTCAACAGCATGGAAGAAGCAAAGAAGAACATGTATGCTTTTAGCACCACCACCTACACTGGGTTCCAATGTACTGTATCGGAAGAAACATCTGAAAAGTTTAAAGGTACGTTTCACAGTCTAGTACATATATAATAAATCCTTAATAATTACTCGTGAAGTTAATCGTTGTTCTTCTTGATGTAGGACTGCCCGGGGTTCTTTGGGTGTTGCCAGATTCGTATATAGATGTTAAGAACAAGGATTACGGAGGTGGGTTTTTCTTTAAGCTAAGGCCGAAACACCTGCAAGATGTGAATTTACAGATTAAGTAAATGGTCTATTAGTTTGCTCAAATTTTGTTATTGGGGTTTATAGGGGATAAATATATTAATGGAGAGATAATTCCTGGGAACTACCCTGTTTATCAACCCAAGAAGCGAAGAGAACCAAAATACGAGAGCAGAAGATATGAAAGACGACGAGATGGCCCTCCTCCCGAGCAACGAAGGCCAAGACAAGGAGCAGCTCAGTCTGAATCAGCCTCTTGATTCTTGATGGGGTACTCAAAATGCCATCCAACTGCCTTTACATGTTCTGTAATTGAGCTCAACTCTTAACTCGTTCTTTTACATTTGCAGTTAATTGAAGCGTGGATCTAAATACAGACATATCATGCACTATTGTAGTTTCAAGAGCAGCGCTCAACCATTGGTAGTCACATTTGTTGACAGATTTTTGTTCAGCCTGGTGTTCAACTTGGGAGAGAAGTAGTGCAGTATTGGGCTTGTTTTAGAAACCTTGTTGGTTGAGAAATGTATAATTGATCAAAGATTTGCACCAGAATTGGGATATAACTTTTGTTAGATCAAATATAATGTTAGCGTTTTGTTTGCTTGATTTATTTTCTGGGTTCTTCCCTATCTTTTACTCCCTAAATTACAAAGATAAATGGTTGAACAAATCATACGCTTTGTTACATTGCCGCATAGTTTGCCATTAAACCCCTCACCTCAATCCTTGACTAGTCTTTGATAATGTAGTTGCATATTCAGCTTGGTTGGAGGATTTAAATCATTATTTGAATCATAGTTCATAGTTCGCTACAGTATTTTCTCTCATAAAAAATACACGTAAATAAAAAATGGTTGTAATCATATGATTCTAATTTATGAACTAAACGTCTCCGGATTTTTCTTTTGAGCAATTTTATTTGGCTTTGCACAGAGCTGGCTGTTGGGAGCCAACTTTGTGGGACTCATTGTAGCCCCATTTTTTTTGCGGGTTCGAGTGAAAAACTTAGAGTCCGTTTGGTTTATGGATTCGAACCATGAGATTAAGACTATTTTTTATTTACGTGTATTTTTTGTGAGAAAAAATACTGTAACGAATTATGAACTATAATTCAAATCAGAGAACGAATTCTCCAACCAAACGAGCTCTTTAAACTTGAATTCAAATTTTTGAAAGAGAAAATATTGTGAAATGGATGGGGTCTACATTTCTTACAGAGAGTCCTACAACTTTTCTTTTGGTCGTTTTACTCCGTACCACAAAATATCTCATAGGCACAGACAACTCTCAGACCACGAACCACCAAAATGCTGAAGATTACCCCAACATGAAAAATGATGGAACTACATAATTGATGTTTTCTTCATGAATACTCTTCCTCTGCCTTCAATCGACATCCCTTTTTTACTACCTTTTTCAGGGTTGAGTTATTGCAGCATGTTAAAACAGACCAATTATTCCTCGTAGTCGTGCAATTCAAAGGATCGATTTTGCCCCATACATTTGTTTTCTCGGTGATCTTGTGAGGAATTAATTACCACTAGGGATCTGAAAGTGAAGTTTCATTTTTTCACTATCGAAGCAAATTAGATGGCTTACTAAGAACCCAGAAGTACCAACCGATGGTGGTGACTATATATAGTTCAGTCGAATTTTATTATCCCTGTAACATATACAGTAAAATATTTCATTTTTATTGCCATATATATTTTGAGTTTTCAATTAAATAAATTCTACTATTTAGATATCGCAGTTTTTCCCCATGGAGATGGGGCCCGCTAGAACCCGTCTCGAAAAGCGTGGAGATAGAGAATAATAAGTGGAGATAAAAACGGAGATGGGGACAAAAATTTATTCTCAAATTAGGACTTTTAATGGAGAATAATAAGATTTACGCTCTACTGTTAAGCTATAGAAGCTTTTAATGGTATGTTTTTTAAGCACTTACTACATTAGTTAATTGTTTCCAACTTGCTTTGAACTCTTAGAGACGGCCATTGAATCATCAGATGGATTGGACCCACAGAAAGTCTCTGATATAACAACCACATGATGAAGAGTCAAAAGACCATCAAATTTTGAGACAATGGGAATTTTTTCGATTTATTGAATGTATTTGAATTCTGATTCATGTCTCTTTGTAACTAATGATCTTGTCCTTCATTATATTGCCAATCTCCTTTTATTCCAACTTATGTTTGTTTATTATTATTATTATTCCTATATTGAGAAATTTTTCAAAGTCACATTTGAATATCTTATTTCAATGCTACACTTCTTCACGAATTTTGTGTTGAATTTATGCTAGAAAATAAGATTTCGCCTCAAGTTATTAAAATGTCGTGTTTCAATGACCAAGTTCATAACAAAAATAACTCAAACATTGGAACCAACAACCATCCAGGAGCATATTGTCAAAAAAGCGAAATCAACATGGATCAAGCTAGTGCTTTAGCACTGCCTCAGGTGGTGCTACCTCATGAAATTAGGTTGCGCGCGCTTCATGTGTTATTGGAATCAAGGCGAACTACCACAGTAGGAATCTCGCCCCTACAACGTGATCTCCCTTGTGCAAATTTAGCTCGAGATTGGCACCAAGGGGCGAGCTCCCGCGTATAGACCAACAACAAGGCTTTCAACGAGCAAGGGGATCTCCCTCATGCTGGCCCAGGTTCGTGCCAACTAGGGCCAGTTTAGACGTTCGCTGATTTGAATTTTTAATTCGAGTTGAGATGTGACTTTATGTGAGAGTTTTTTACTGTAACAAAAGAGTTAGATGTGACTGTTTCTGAGAGCTTTTTACTGTAACAAAACTCGAATTATAAATTCGAATTGGTGAAATGAATGGGGCGTAAAATTGCTCTCTCACGCAAATTTTGCCTCACATCTTCGGGGAGATAATTCCTTGCACCATTCCGAGCGACAAGGACATCATTTTTGCTTGAGGTAGCCGACATTGACTTCACATACATTACCAATAAGAATGGAGGAAAAGAACATCAAAGAATTATTTTGCTTGTGTTTAGTGACAGTTTCACGCTAGGTGTGTGTCCAGGATTATGGGATAAGAGAGCCCTAAATATTCATGTTTAGAATTTCGGAAAAAAGCTTAGAGTGGTTTGGCAATTTAAAATATTCTTCACAAATTTCTTTCTTTGTCAATAAATCGAGATAGTATAATGGAAACCAAAAGTTCAAATGTCAATAGTGTGGATGTAGTTGCCAGAATAGAGGTTAAACTTTATTAAAGCGTGAAACTACATGAGACGTGAGTTATAAATAGGGTTGTTCTTTTGGAGTATAACTTGAGTGTAGTTTTTGAGTTGAATTTGAGTTATAACTTGAGTTGAAGTTAAAACTTGAATAAAGTTGAGTAAAATTGAATAAAGTTGAAACTTAAAAGAACGTGAACTTAAATAAAGTTGAAATTTGAGTTATCTTTTTTTGAATTTTTTAGACAAAAGAACATGATTAATCTTCTTATTTCTAAAATACCACTGAAGAAGGTATCACGAGATTTCAAAATTGTCCTCGATTTTTTACTTCGAACTTCAAATTGCCCTAAACTTGCATTTGTAAGATTCATTTCACCCAAAGCATGAAAATGTGGCAAATATCATGATAGCTATACTCAAAAATCTTATACTATTATTTGTTTAATTTCAATGGATGTTATTGTATTATAGTGTGTTATGAATTTTAAGTTATTTCTAATATGTAAAAAATAAATAAAAGTATATAATTTTCATGTCAATTTCGGGTTCATGTGTCAATTTCAGGTTCACGTGTCAATTTTGTGTCACGGATCATTTTCGTGTCGTGTCGTGTCAACCCGTAAAGTGGTCGTGTCATATTCGTGTTGTGGTTTTAAAAAATTTCATGTCACGGATCGTGTTCGGGTTGACTGTAAATTTAGAAAGAAACAATTAAAACACGAGATGAACACGACACGTGACACGAATTGTCACCCCTAGTGGCAATTAATCATCCTCTATTGATTTTTGAACCTCAAATATGTCATTTTGGTCACGTGACTAGTTTTAGTTGGGAAAAGTTATGAACTTAGGTTAATTTCGACCCTCTACCTCCATACCTAGACCCTTACCCTAATTTTATCCTTCTGGACCGCTCAAGGCCGCCCCTCACTGCGACAAAGAATCAAACACCTCGCAACACATGAGCAACGAAATTTTATTTCATATTATGGCTTTTGTATTTTTACCACTTACGGTAGCCACTTTGGTGCAGAATTGGATTGTATGAAGATTGCTATTTGTCCAAGGATGATGACGCAAAAACGAAATTGTTATGGGCGCATCATCCGTGGCTTGTTAAAGGTTGCTATTGGAGGAGGCTAATAGCATATATATGGTGGGGATTGTGAACTTGACCTTTGAGTCTAATGGCACACAAGAGGATAACTCTTCTTATTGTAAAGAGAGAATTGGTGTATTCATCCTTTGAATGCATTACTTTAAGATTTTTATCTTTTATTCTTAATTAATATCTTTTTGACGAATTTAGTTTTTTGATTAAAAGGTATTAATCAAGTTTAAAAGGTAAAAATCTAAGACCCATATTCTAAAAAGTATTTGTCTCCTTCCCCCTATTATAAACGCTCCTATTTTGGTTGAAAGAATGATGGGTTATATATAGATATATAAGGAAGTATTTTCAACCTTAATGACCCAATAAATAGCCATGGAGTGTAGGGGTGTAAGAAATGAGTCCGAACTGAAATAACCTGCCCGACTTGACCCGAAAGCATAGGATTTTTTTATTATTAAAAATTCAGATTCAAATAGTCCCAACCTGCACTGTGCGGGTTGGGGGGTGGGGCGGGCATTTTGAACCCGCTTTGCCCCGACCCAACCCGATTTAGGTGTGTAACCCTAAATCCTTAAATCTATTTTGCTGGACTATCTCTATATGGACTGTTTATTTGATGTATTGTTAATTTTATTTCTGGACTTTATTGACTATTAAGAAGTATGTTTGATATTATGTTAATGCTTATAGACTGTTTATGGATTTTATACTTTTGGTCTGTTAAAAGAGGTATGAAGTCATAGATTAAAATTGATTTTCACCAACTCGAGTAACCCGAGCCTACCCGAGGTCACCCGATAGGTTACGGGTTTGTGGGCTTAAGAGAGTGTTGCAGCCCAAAATTTTGTCAACCCGCACTGAGCGGGTCGGCTCAACCCGACCCTACCCGGCCGAATTACACCCCCAATGGAGTGTGCCGTGTGGTATTTAACGTCCAAGAACTAACAAAAGGGTGTTTAATGCCAAGTTTTCATCTGAAGAAAGAACGAATCTTACAAATTCATGTCCGGGGTGTAACTTAAAACTATCAAAAAGCACCTTCTAGCCACTGTTTAAGAACTCATTTGTCACGAAACTCATACCCCATCGGGGGGGCGTAGAAATGGCTAGAAAGGTTGGAGAAATCGAAGGAAACCTTGAAGAAATTCAATGAAACTTCATAGAAAAGGTGGTAAAAAAAACTGCATGCTTATTCAGAGAAGACAAGTGAGACATTGAAGCAGATGGAAAGGGCACAACCGGTTTTGCACATCCTTCCAAGAAATTACCAAAGAGACTCCC